AAATCAATAGGGAAGTGGAAGATGTGAATGTTGAACATGCAGTACATTCTTGTGATGCAAATGTTCGAGTCCCTATAGATGATAACATGGAAATAAAAAATGAGGTACAACCACAACCATATCAATACGATGGTTTTTTGACAGAATTGTCTGATGAGTACGATAGGGATAGGTTTGTTGAAGACGTCGTTAATTCCGAAAATGAAATGGTTGAAGATGATGAGGCCAAAACCAATGAACTTCCAATTCACAATCCAAATGTTCCTTGGAACTTTATGAAACCTCAAGTTGGTAAATGATATGCATCGGCCTTGGAGTTAAAGAATTGTTTGAAAAATTATCCGCTTTCAAATGGCTTTCAACTTAGGTATGCTACTTATCTTATTTACTTACATACATCTATTATGTAATTACTAACGTTTTTTTGACATATTGTTATCAATGAAGATATCTAAAAAACAGCAAAGACAAGTTACATGTTGTGTGTGGACCACCTAATAAAGGATATGAAAGTAGTTGTCCATGGAGATTGTAGGCATCTTGGATGAAGGATGAAAAATCATTCCAAGTCAAGTCACTAAATAATGAGCACAAGTGTGGGAGAAGTTACATGTTAGGTTCACTTGTGAATTCCAATTGGATTCCTAAACAATATGGAAGGAAGATTACATAAAACCCATCTATCAAGTTAGTTGATTTGAAGGAATCCATTCTAAAAAAAATGCAAGTGCATTGTTCAGTTGAGTCAATGCCAAAGGGCTAAGGCCAAGGCATTGGGAGAAGTAGAAACGACTTTAATTGAGCATTATGAAAAGTTATGGGACTACCGTGAGGAGATTAGAAGGAGTAATCCAGGATCAATGGTTAAAATTAGTGTCGAGGTAGGAACAAATAATAGAAATTATTTTCAAAGATTTTTTATGTGTGTTTTAAGGATATTAAAAAAGGTTGGTTCTCAGGGTGTAGGGGATTCATTGGCTTGGATGGATATTTTCTAAAAACCATATGCAAGGGAGAGTTGCTAAGTGTGATAGGGAAAGATGGTAACAACCAAATATATCCTCTTGCATGGGCAGTGGTGGAGGTTAAAAATAAAGACAGTTGGAAGTGGTTTTTAAATTTTCTAATGGAGGATATTGGATTAACCGATGGGTTAGGAGTAACATTGATGTTAGATCAACATAAGGTAATAGTATACTAATAATTAACTGCACACACTTGTTAATCTATTATGAATGTGATATTCTAATTAGTTAATTGCATTATGTTAATAAAGGGACTCGTTGAAGCTGTTAAAGAGGTATTCCTATTTGTTGAGCATCGTCAATGTGCTAGACACATATACACCAATTTCAAGAAGAAGTACACCGGAATCCAATTCAGATCTTTGTTTTGGGCTGCATCTAAGTCAGGGACACCACAAGAATTTGAAGGAATTATGCATGAAATTAAAAGTTTGTCTCCCCATGCTTATGAACATTTGATGGAAAGACAACCCATAACATGGTTAAGGGTTTTATTCAAGATCGACACATCATGTGATGTTGTAGAAAACGAAGCAAGTGAGTGTTTTAACTCTTTGACTATCTCATCTAGGAGAAAACCTATAATAACAACATAAGGAAGACTACATTATTTCCACTAGTTCTGACATATACGCATGGTTCATCTTCACTTCTCATGAATCCAAATTCTTTGAGTTTCTCATCAAAGCACATGTTCCAGCAACGAGAAGTTTGCTTAAGTCTATAAAAGGACTTCTTAAGTTTACATACTTTATAAGGATGCTCGGACTGTACAAAATCTTCAGGCTATGTCATAAACACATCCTCAGTTAGCTTACCATTAAGGCAATTTTTACATCCATCTTCCATATTTCATAGTCATGAAATGTTGTTATGGCAATGAATATCCTGATGGATTTCAACATAGTCACTGGTGAGAATGTTTCATCATAGTCTACACCACGAGTTTGTGTGTAGCCCTTCACCACCAGTCTAGCTTTGTATGTGTGTACTTTGCAATCCATGTCAGTCTTCTTCTTGAAGATCCATTTACACCCCCACCTTCTTTTGACTGGGTGTTTGATCAACCAAGTCCCAGACTTTATTATCATACATGGATTGCATCTCGCTCTCTATATCCTCTTTTCATTTAGCGGCCTTAGGTCCCGCCATGGCTTCCTGATAACTGGTAGGCTCATCAAGATCTACTTGTGTATCGTCACCATCATATATGAGTAAGTTATATCTTTTTGGTGCACAACGCACTCTATCAGACTTGCGCACAGGTGATGGTTGGATGTCAGATTCCTCAATTACTCTTTTTGGAGCTCAACAACTACAGGTTCTACAACCTGTCGATGAGAACTAGTGTCAATGCCAGATTCCATGTTGGTCGACTCTTAAATTTCTTCAAGATCAATTTGGCTCCCACTAGCCTCTTTGGACATCAGTTCCCTTTCCATGGAAGATTTCCCTTCGAGCAACAAACACTTTGTTCTCCGAAGGCTTATAAAATAAGTATCCGAAAGAATCAGTTGGGTATCCAACAAAATAACACCTTTCTGATCTGGGTTCTAGTTTGTCTTGAGCTTCACGACGTACGTAAGTCTCACAACCCTAGATTTTTAAATATGCAAGTGAAGGAACTTTTCCACTCCATATTTCAGAAGGTGTTTTGGAAACCTTCTTCGTTGGTACAAGATTTAGGACCCTTGTAGCAGTTTTTAAAGCATATCCCCAAAAACTGATTGGAAACGTAGTTCGACTCATCATGGACCGAACCATATCAAGCAATCTTGTGAGGTTTTGTTTGAAAATTCGTTTTATATGTTGTTTTCATTTACTATCGAATTATTTCAGAGTTCAAATGTATTTTTGGTCAATATTCATATTCATAGGTAAAATAGCAATAAACGAAATCTTTTGCATCGCACATCAAGTATATAGCACATGGAAACCACCCGATTTGTTTAAGTTTGGACTTTAAAAGTCAAAGTGTCTAGCTGTAGGTCTTAGATTATTTATTGTAGCCATAGAGGTTCAAATATGATGACTCTAAATACCCACAAAAGAGATGGTCACTTTAAGATTAATCAGCTCGCATATCAAGTTAGATATGGAAGTTAATAAAAAAAAGTACCACATGAACAGGTAAGTGGCATTAGGCCATTAGCCGCATGAGCATCTTCATGATTAGCCAACAACAAATAACACGCATATTACCAAAATGTCTTCGTTTCATTCATTAAAAACCAAAAAGAGAGCAGCTACATGATACACTTTACACTATCACAAAATTGATTTTATAACATATCTAAAAAGAAAAGACGTCTTAAAAGAATACTTTATAGGACATGAGTTTATAGGATCAAACCGAAAAACGTCATATCTAAAAATGTTACAATAAGTTTATAGGACACTTTTAAGCGTTTTATCATGTTTTTTACAATACTTTTAAAAGAAAGTGTCTTACTAGCTATTTTATAGAACATTTTTGAGAAGTGTCCTATAAACCCATATTTTGGTATGACACTTTTCATTACCGAACACTTTTTCAAATAGTGTCGTATAAAATAGTTAATACGACACTTTATTTTAAAAGCGTCGAAAAGACTTGTTAAAACGGCTAAAATCGTCTTATAAACTTATTGTAACGCTTTTAGATATGACGATTTTTGGTTTTGTTCTATAAACTTGTGTCATGTTAATTATTCGTTTAAGACACTTTTTTATTTTAGGTATCCTATAAAATCAATTTTACTGTAACGTCGACTAATGATTGTGTACCATTTTGGTATCAATTTGCCAATAACTGAAAGTTACCTCATTATTTGTTAGTTGTTCATACCTAGGAACAACAAATGTTATGGTATTAAAAACCTCATTATCAAGTAATTTCAATTCACCAATCAAACATATTAACTTTCCATTTATGTACCACATAAAAACATAGCATAGAGACGGAAAATTGAAGAAAACATGAAACAGGCTATAGTTAATTTCTCGGCTTCAAAATCGATATGATTTTCGCAACATCACGCATGGATACATAACTAGTTATATATAATATATAATTTAGGGTTTACGTATCATTTTCTCTTAAACTATATTTTTAAACATTGTAAACCTTTAATGTTGTGATCGAAGTAGCAATATACATGCTACCAAGGAGGAATAAAAATCTTCATGTGGCCACGGAGGTTCAAATGCTGTGACTTCGGATTATCTGCAAAGCAGTGGTCGCCATGGAATTAGTCGGCTTGAATAACGGGTTGGATATCGAGGTTAATAAAAAAAATATATATATATATATATACACACACACACTACCAAGCTTTCTTCCCAAAGAGAAGAAAATAGCATGACCAAAATGTACCTAACACCCCCCAACTTAAGTTTAAGTGCCTACTATTTAACTACAAACCTTGGAATACAACTTAACCAGGCCCACGTACAAACTAGAATGATCACGTAAAGCTTATGCATGATTTATATATATATATATATATATATATAGGGTTGGGTTCACGTGAGACCAAAGGTTTTTCGTGAGACCCGTAAGACCAATTTATGTTCATTGATCAACTTTATAAACTAATTATCTAATGGTTTAAAGTTGTACGGTGACAATTTTGTAATTATTGAGAAGTCTCGTGGCATTTATGAATGTTCAGATCCGACGATTGTAGATCTAATCCAAGGGTTGAGAATTGGTCTTACGGGTCTCACGAAAAATCATTGGTCTCACATGATCCCAAGTCTATATATATATATATATATATATATATATATATATGAAGGATCTAGATAATGCAACCATTTACATAACAACGAGGGTGGCAAACTTTGTGTTGCATACCTGCGTAACCCAAATTCTACTAATATTTAAAGAGCATTAGGTTGGCAACTCCACAAACCTTCCTACATTTTTCTTATATAAACGCGTTCTTAATACCTGAACCTTTATTCCTCCCTCTACTTTGCCACCCTTGTTCAATGGCTTTTCTGCATATCTCACTTCTTCTGCTTTTCATTTCTATCGGTAATTATTAGATATTCATCTTTGTTCTTCCCTTGCATTTTCGTCTTGAGATGATATTTTACGGTGTGATCTTTTCTGCAGGAGCCAATGCGGTGCTTTTTACATTAGAAAACAGATGCAACAAAACCATATGGTCGGGGATCCAAGCTTCGGCAGGCCAACCCCAACTCATGGAAGGTGGTCTCGAACTGAAACCGCAACAATCAAGAAACGTGACCACCCCAAAAGGGTGGTCAGGCCGCTTCTGGGGCCGAACTGGATGCACATTTAATGTTTACGGTGAAGGAACCTGCAYCACYGGCGACTGTGSAACKGGTCTCYACTGCAACGGTGCAAKCGGTSAACCRCCAGCCTCCTTAGCTGAGTTTACCCTCGACAGCCCATTGGATTTTTACGATGTGAGCCTCTTGGATGGCTTCAACCTGCCCATCTCCATATTCCCATATGGTGRTTCGGGYATTTGCCCCAGTATTAGGTGTGACACCAACTTGAACCTATATTGCCCCCCTAATCTGCAGGTTCGAGGGGATGGTGGGGAGGTTGTGGCCTGCAAGAGTGCATGCACGGCGTTTCAGACGCCAGAATATTGTTGCACCGGGCCGTTTCAAAATGCAAACCGATGCAAGCCAACAAGGTACTCACAGTACTTCAAACGGGCTTGTCCGACTGCGTATACGTATGCTTATGACGACCCAGCAAGTACTTATACGTGCCGAGAAACCAATTACTTGATCGTATTTTGTTAATTTCGTTACAGACACCTATTGTCTCTAATTTACTTGATCGTGTTTTGTTAATTTCCTTAAAAACACCTATGTCTCGCATTTGACGATCAATGGTTATTAAGATTTGCAGCAAATAAATGAAATGATTTATGACTGCTAGTTGTGGCCACTGATTTTAATCGAGTCGTTTCATTATTTATACATCAACGAGATATGTTAGTAAACCGATTATTTGAGTTTTGAAAGTGTCAATTGCGTTGTTTCAATATCCTACTCACTCTTAAAACGCTTGTGCAGTCTGTGACTAGAAAGCTGTTTGTGCTAACAAAATGTTACCACATAAATCTGTGCTGATTCATGCTCACACATAAGCACGCACAACTTCGCTGCTCGTAAGCCTCAGGAAGCCTCTATGTGAGAATATGACATTGGGAATTTTATGTCATATTAAGCCTCATGAGGACTGAACTCTTACAAGTTCACAAACCCTGTCAAAGGAAAAGATTCTTAGCTATATGAAAGAGATTACAAGATCAATGAAAGGATAATAACAAATATTTACCAAACTTATCTAAATCTTGTTAAAAGTTAAGCTAGACTAAGGGGCCGTTTACCAACATTTTTTGTTAAGTGCTGATTGGGGTAAGATGTCTGACTGTGGTAAGAGGTCTGACTGGAGTAAGTGCTGATTGGATTTTCCTGTTTACCAAACATTTTTTATTAAGTGCTGATTATGTCAAAAAGACTATTATGTCAAAAAGACTATTATGTCCCTCTTTCTGGAGTAAGTGCTGATTGAAAATTATTGTTTACCATATGTATTGTATTAAGAGCTAACATAAAATGTTATTTATCAAAAAATTTAAATATAATTTCAAATTCTTTTTTGCTTACGAAAATATATTGATACTCAATATATTAACATATTACCGATTTTCATAATTTAGAACAAAAAGTCAAATTTTCGTAAAGCAAAACCACTATTAAAATAAGGACCAACAAAGGAAACAACAACAAACCATCAACAACGAACAAAAAGTCATTACAAGTCTTTAACATAATTGTTTGCGTACAAATAGTTCGCTTACAAATATTAATTTCAAGCATTCAACATTAATTGATTTGCAATCTGATCACGCAAATCAGTCATATATTCATTGCCTTGGG